TATTATTATTATTGTTGTTGTTGTTGTTGTTGTTGCTATTATTGTTACTAAAACCTCTTCAGTTTTACTTGGAAGTGTGTATGTCAGACTTGAGTGAGATGACATTTAGTGACAAATTAAATAAGTCCAGTTTTAAATATCATTAGCAAAGGTTCTTAATGTATGCCTTTGGTTAGAGGTTGTTTTGTATTTATATTTGGGTGATAAGAGCAAAGATCGTGGGTTTCTCTGCCATGCTCTTTCCCCGCAGGAGCTCTAGGTGAGCCTGGCACTCTCCTTTTATGTTTAATGGTTGTTAATGTTTTTGTTGTTCTTTCTATTTGTCACATGTTTAATTAGAATTGTATGTAAGTAAATAAAGGTTAGGTGTATTTACTCTGCTTTTGTTTTATATAATTAAACCATACATCCCCTCTACAAAGATAGTAGCCAGCGCTTTCCGGTCAATTAAAAAAATAGATACACACAACGTAGGAAGTCCTTATGACGATCACATATATTTGGCCACAACTACGTTTACTTATTTTTTTGTCGAACCTAGGGTTGTTATACTACAACAGGAGTAATAGTTTTTCCTAAACCGATTCAGAAGCCTTTTATAATCCCTAAAAAGATTGGACGTGAAGCTGAATTTTAAAAGCTACTGAAAATATACTCTTTAATAGAGTGTAGTTCTTTCAAAGCAGCTTCAGAGTAAAACATATTCTTGTTTTATAGATATGGATGGACTATTTCCAAACTCTACTTTGTTTGTAGAATATTCAGAATTAAATGTCCAAAAACCATAACAGTGTTTAGTGTCTATCATTATAGACAACAAGCTGCTATTTTGCTCTAATGTCTCATTAATTAAAGTTACGTAATTACGATAAGGTTGAATTTATGGATATAATTCTTTCATTGAAATAATCCTTTGTCAGGGATTTTTAAATATAAACGTTATGTTCCATAAAAAAAATTCAGTGGAAAAGTTTGAGGTGGTTTGAGTTTTGAATGGTCCATCAATAGTTAATTTGGGTAACCGATTGATCAGAAACTGTATTTCTTTTATAATCATTGAAGGATAGTAAAACTCTTAGAGGTCTTTTTAGGACAAAATATTATTGTACTGATTTCTTTGTTTGTTTTCACAAGAGGCATCAGCTCTGCAGATGTATTGCAATGTTTTTTCTGGAACGTCTGTACCTTTTGACTGACCAAGTACCAAACTGTTTTTTAGATAGAATATTTATAAAAAGACATTATACTGAAAATGTTGAAGAGTGATTTTTTCTAGATGTAATATTTAAAGGAAAAAGTTAAACCTACAAAAGGTAAAATCCTTCTGATTTTAATTTAATTGATTTGAGCTTCCACTTTGATAAATTAGTGAAATGTGCTCTTTCCTCTAATGCACATTTGAATTGTTACAGACAAGCAATTTCTCCACACCTTATTCATATGTATTTTTTAATTTTTTATAATATTTTATATTAATTTATAATAATTTATAATTTTTTATAAGAAATAATTATTTCTTTCATATATTTTTTCTCGTTTTGGATCAAAAGAAAGGCAGACTTACATGCAACTTCCACAGTGGCCGGCTGACTCTTTATGTTGCCCCTTCCGTTCCACGCGTAACACTCACACTTAAATTTCTCCTTGCCGAAAAATTCCTCGACCATGTCTCTGGTCACGTTAGTGTCCGCCTCGAAAATCCGCACACCTGTCTGGGGGTCCACGAACCAGTTCTCGATAGTTTCCACTTTGCGGGCTCCATTGCACTTGAAGTAAACCTTCAAGGCGTGAGCCGCACGGCAGTGGAGGATCGCGGGACGGTTTTTTACCACGAACGCATTCTGGGGTTCCGCCAAGAAGATAGGGAGGTCCGTGTTTAGCAGGAGGGACTCGTCTTGTTCTGGTGTTGGCTTGGTCGTAGATGCGTCGTCGAGCAAGCCACCATCTGGAAAAAGAAATAGTAACTTCAGCAATGAACAATCAGTGACACAAGGTCTATAATTTCTCAGTTCAGGAAAAAAATATTAATATTCATTTCTAAAAAAAAATCAGATCAATTTTTTAGAAGCTGATAAACATTTTGAATATGTTCAAGATGATTAAAATCATGTTGCTCTTGAACCAACAAACTTAGAAATAGCAGGAATGTACTCAAGAACCCTCAAGAAGGAGTCTCAAACTCAGAAGCGAACGCTGAGGATCTTCGTTCAGGAGAATTTCGAGAAGAATTTGAAAAATAATGTTTCTTCTGAACTCCGTTTTTAAATTTACTTTTATGTTGAAACTTTATGAAGAAATAATTTAAATGCTGCCTTTTTTAGTAATGTCGGACTGACATTTTGTTTGTTTTCTTAGTTGTTTCCTTATGAAAATTCGACTTTGTTTCTATTTGTCATTCTAAATGGCATATTATTATATCTATCTTTTATTAATTTTGTTAAATAAAGTATGTGGTATTATTTAATTTATTTGTGTCAGATAGTAAGTCAAAAATTCATTTTTTTAGCACCTGACAACAATCCGACATTTTGTACTGTATTCAAATGAAATTAACAAAAATAAAATGCAGCTAAGTATTGCGAAGAAACATTGCTCTACCACATTTAAGAATTTGAAACTGCATAATAACTAAAGACAAAATATTTGGCAATTGAATGCAGTAAAAGTGGCAAGGCATTAAATTAAAATATAATCACAATGCCGTTTATTGTCAAAAAAAGAATGTCCAATTTTCTGATCATAGGAACTATATTAGTTAAGGCGAATATTCATCATAAAAATATTAATTTCAACACCCAGTATATGTTGGGTATAGACCCTTCAAAAATGATTACAAGCCACGTGATCAGTAATTTTATTTCCCTCACATTGGCAATCAAAACTACATTAAAACACAACATTTTTTTTCACCGCATTCAATCTCGAGATTAGACGCAACAGTTTGTCATTGTTCATTGTAAACGAGTCATTAATAGGCGTGTGCGTTGTAAAAAAATAGGTAGTATAAATAAAAATAAATAAATTTGCGTACTTTATCAGTGAAAGGTCGTTTTTTACCCCTTGGTGCATTCGACATTATGAGAATAACGTATTAGAAAACACGTATACACAAAGCAAATGCGAAGCCAATAACTAACTGCCATTATTACCAGTTTCGTACGGTGCGCTGTAGCTAATATCTCTATTACTTGAATTCACCTATAAATAAATGTTTATCTACCGCAATAAGATTTTTTACAATACCCTTATTGATATTTTTTCTGTCTCAGTATATTTCTTAAATAAGCCTGAAACAATATTTCCGTAATTTTGTGTATTTATAGGTATTAGGGGCATTTACCTTTATTTATGCAATCTGTAAATTTCTTCTTCTTTCTTCTCTCTAATTTTTGGTACCTATATATTTTTTTCAATAACACTCACCATTGTATGCTTCTAACGGATTATTATACGGGTATGCCTTGTTTTTAATACTTCTATAATAAACAATGAAATAGATATATTGCAATTAATAAAAATGTATGAAAAAGATCTTCCAGCTTTGACTTTTTTAAAAGAAAAAATATAGGCTTGTATTAATTTATTTGAGATTCTCTACAATCCTACAAGTATTCCTAATTTACTACCACCTCTGATTTCTCAGGTGTTATAACAATCATAGTAAACAATCTATTACAATTTACAGTTTTATATTAACACCTGAAATTTATTCTTTTGTGCGCAGGGCGGTACTTTAGGTAAAATAGCTGAAAGTAAATAAACAGAGCTGTTAACGGCTTTGTCACGGAATGGATGTTGAATGGGTCCGCATTATCTGTACATCAATGTATAATTTGAAATTCAATTCTATTTTATCTTTGTTCTCAAAATGAAATACAAACATTTGCTCAGTTCTACGCCCAATACGTTCAAAAAGATCGGGAAATTTACTCTCCAATGGAGCTCGTGTTGCCTCTGCTGACGGAAAAATAGGAAATTCATAGAATAAGTTTATTCTAGTGTAAAACTCACTGGGATTGCTACTTTATGCGTTGGGAGAGAAAAATCGTTGTAAAATTAATTTAACTGAATAACGAATAGTGCTTATAGGACAGACACTCGTATAAATAAATACTTATTTAAATCCAAATCATCACATTAACATGGTGAGGGATGTAATTAAATAACAAAGAAAAGTCCGTAGGACCTCTAAATATAACGAAAATGGAAATCTTTAGTAAACAGAGGTGGAAAAACTTTCGAAAGGTAAACATATTAAGTAGATTATTTGACTATTTCATCATTGGCAGATATCAAAATAAGCTAAAATAAAGTTATTAAAAATAACTCCTTCATTAACCATTGGCCTTACCTAGTATCTGTCATTTTTTATATTTTTTAATTTGCAGTGAGACATTAAAAAAGAACAATTCGTTAAGAAATTTTACAAATAAATACCATCTGATTATAAAAACAAATAATAAGAGTGTCCTTTCTATAACAAATTGCCGATTTTATACATATTATCATCTTTGATTTATTTATGCACAAAAAAGAGCAAAAATTAAAGTACTCAGATTGCTATTTATGTGCTTTGTGCTGTAATTAATTTAAAAAATTACAAATTGTTCAGCACCGTATAGTTCTAGAGTATTGTTTATGTTAATTGGTGTGGTTTATTATAGTAACGTTCTGTGCATGTTTCTGTGTAATATTCCTTCGGTGTTGTTAACATAAACATCAAGGACTTTCTAATGAAAAAATTATAATAAATTAATACTAAATAAACATTACAACCACATTAACAGCAAACGAAAAGGTAGTTTATTAAACCTGAACAAAAGCTTTTCTTTGGTCAATTTTTACACTTTACATATATATTATCAAACCATGATTTCAACCGACTACCTTGCTAATTAATCGCGAACTAATAAGCATACAAATGTATGCTATCTAAATATTCATTTGATTCAATTTCTGTTAATTTTGTAATATCTATATTAATATCATCTAAAAACAAAAAAAAAATGGTCAAGAACTCTTAACAGTCCAGTAAGTTCATACATTAGTTGTTTGAAATATAACCGATTTACTCCAAAGATTAAGACTTAAAAACTGATGACCAGGAGTTCAATATCGCTCGACTAATTGCTGCTGTGCCGGAGAAGAATGCCTTGTATTCCGCGTACATTTATCTTGATTGATACGGAGACTTCAAAACAGGCCCTCGGTGCAACAACAAGAGCAAAACGCCTAGAAAATATGACTCACGATTTCAGACCTGAATATGTCTTCAGGCCTTTAATTTTACAGAAGCTGTAATACAGTTGTGTTATATTATTGTTGGAGGCCATCCATGAAAAACCTATACATAATCGATATACAGATTGCATTATATTAGTTTACGGTTCAACGAGCAGGAACAGAAATCTGATTTGTAAAAACAAATAATTATTATTTCATGAGGAGCTCATAAAATAGCCGCACTATAATTAAATCCGAATTCATTTATCTTTCTGCTCTTTCGCTTGCTTTTTCTGGACAAAAATGTAATAAGTTCCGTGTTCTATCTGCCAGGAATCACGGAATTGCTGGAAATTTGGAATGCCGTTACCGTAAGTTTATAGTAAAGTTGTAGTACCTTTTTAAAGTACCTACGATTTATTCCAAGAATACGTGCTCATCATTGTTTTGAAAATGGATTGGTATAAAACACAATATGTTTTGATTCTAGAACGAAAATTGGTAGGTGGTAAAAAGTTTCCTTATAAATTCTAACATATTTTGATATCTACGATATTGTTAAAATTATTACCAAAAGAACGTAAACAAAACATTTCGTCATTAAACACATTTTGATACTTAATTATTAAACAGAACCTTCCTTATTTAATTTTTCATTTAGACTTTTGGTATTTTGACTACAATACTTCCAAAATTTTTCTAAGCACGCTTATGATCTATGGACATTGTTTTTATGAGATCATGTATTTCATTCATACGTTTCTTCAATTTTGGAAAAATTTTTTGTAGGGCTTCGTTGAAACTTTTTTAGATTTTAGATTATCGCATTCTTAAAGAAAATTGTGTATTTGACATAACAATAACTATCATTTTAGCAAGCTTTTATGATTAGTTTAATATTCTTTTCATTTGTATAAATTAGTTCAGAGCATTTGAATGGATAAATATCTATATTTTAAATTTCTTAGCAGTGATTCCTACTTTAGAATTGAAAAAACAAGACAACCATAAGAAATTAGTAATAAAAATTTATATACCTATATAAACAAATGAATATAAATTAAAAGTAACTAACAAGTTAAACGTAGCTTTATATTAAACTACTCGACACCTCATATTATTCATCGTCTGCTTAGATAACTGTAATGTCTAAGTGCTAAGGATAAACAATAATAGAAATAAGATTTTTAAAAATTCTTATTCCAATACTAGTTTGTGTGATAGATATTATGCAGGAATGTATTCTGATGCGATTGATTATGTCCAAAAACAGAAACTTGATAAATATCACAGCTAAAAAATTTTGCAAGAGTGTAGTTGTGTAGAAGAAATTTGTGAACAATTTCCTAGAACCGTCCTTCTTATATTAACGCACGGATTTTTTACTAAAATTATAATAGTCTGTGCAAAATTTCAGCTCAATACTTTGAAAAAATAATAGAGTAAAAACATTGTATTCTTATTTTAAAAAGATTGGTAATTTTATAAATATGTTGCACAAATTATAAATTTATATTATTATATTTACAACAAATAAATCCAAATATGGTGATATCATTGCAATGCTCCTTGTATATTTGCAAAAATGTGTATACAGTGATTCACAACTTATCCGTAAATAATATAATAATATCGTAAAAAAATTTTGGTAAAATCCTTATAGTTTCCGAGAAAAAAATTATTGAAGTTACAGTACTTTCAAGCATTACATCGCTGTAGTCT